CTGCTGCGTAAAGCCGCGGGCGGGCGGGGTGCTTTGGGTAGCAGCGCTATCTTTCATTAGATCCATTCTTGAGTCGGGGTAATAGTAGAGATCCTGCCCTGCAGCACGGCAGCACAGCGGGGTGGGGACCCCCCCGCCCACAGCTGAGGACAGGAGGGCGGGCAGGGAACGTGGAGGGAGGGGAAGCGGGAGGCAGAAAACGCTAGTGCCAGGCTCCTGTCTGTCCGTTTGACGGGGGAGAGCAGGTAGCTTGGGCTCAGCGCCGACGTTAGCGAAACGTCCCGTCGAGGCAGCCCTCTGCTTTCTTAAAGAAGGGCTTAGCCTACAGCCAAGTGTAACAAGGAGGGCTGTCAAACTGTTAAAAAATGTGATCGCTAGTGGTTGCGCAATTTAAAAAAATTAATCACAATTTTAATCACAGAGCCAAATACTCAAAACGATGCAGGGGCTTTGAATAGTTGGGGCGGGGGAATTGTGAAGGTGGGGCAAGTCACGGGGGTGGGGGGAGAGAGGAAGATGGAGGCCCCATGCTGAAGGAGGGAATGGAGAAGGGGCAGGTGCTAGGGGGCCTGAGGCCAGGGCAGGTCTGGCACTCATCCAGGAGTGCAGGGGAGGGGGGGGGGAAGTAGTTCCTTGTCCCTGTGCACCCCTGGGGGAGGAATGGGGGGCATATCCCCCAGACTTGTGCATGGGGCACAGGGGGGCTGCCCATTGCAGGCTGGAGCTCTGTACCCTGCTGCCTTTGCACTGGGAGCCGCACGATGCCATGTTGTGCCTTCCACCACTGAATGGGGAAGGGACACACGGTGCGGCCAGTACACGGCTCCTGGGGCAAAGGCTGCAGGGTGCAAAGACCCAGCCTGCAGTGGGCAGCCTGCCTCCACCTTGCATGCAAATCCAGGGGTCATGTGCCCCCCTATGCCTCATCCAGGGGTGCTTGCAGCAAGTGAGCCTTCTGCAGCTCTGTCCCATGACCTGCCCCAGCCCCAGGGCCCCATTCACCAGTACCTGCCCTACTCCCTCCCTCCCGCTGTGCCCCCCAACCCCTTCCTTCTCCCCCCACAAACTTACTGACTCAGCACTGCTCTAGATGCAGCATACAGGCTACTGGTGTGTCTGCCTGTGCACCCCTCCTCCCCACTTCCTCTGGCTGCAGCCACCAGGAGCCTGCACCCAGGCTGCCCTGCAGTCCTCTGTGCTGCCACTGCTTCCCTGCTGGGCAGCCTGGAGGCAGTGGAGCAAGGCATAGGCTCCAAAACTACATGCACAGTTAATGCATTTAAAAAACTACTTCAAGAACCAATTACCACATGAATCCTGTGCACTAACTGCAATTGACAGGCCTAAAAAAAGATCGACGTAGCAAAACAAACTAAACCATTTATGGTAGAGATCTAACCATGAAAAAAGTGAGAATTGCTGAAATAAGATTTTTAACCAACTTACTTAAAAACCTGGTTAACTCAAATACCTGACCAACCATTGGTCAGGCCACCTTGCTAGTGAATCTATCTGCCTACATATCTTTCAATGAAGTACACAGGAAAGTCCCAGTCTATGTTCTCTAGTTCAAAGACACCTTTAACAAAAGCAAAGAACTTTGTTTTCGTTTGTGAGGGGCAAGGATATATCTTAGGGCGATATCTTTTATTGAACCAACTGTGTAGTTACGATAGTTATACAAGCTTTCAAATGCAAGACATTCTTCATCATTTCTGACCAGAACAAATACGTTATGAAAGCAGGAAGGAAAAAAATAATAAAAGGACTTGCAAACATATATTGGATTAGTAGGAAGAAGAAAAGAGGAGCCTCCTTTGCAAGTCACTTAAGGCCCATAGCTTTTCTTCTTGAAGAATTGCATAGTTTAGATTAATAAATTTACCCACTACTGATGGTGTAGATATGTTGCTGAAGCATAGGTAGTAGGCTGTCCCTTTACTGAGGCACAAGAAAAAAAACCCCTAAAACCATGAGCTGTTTATGGTTATACTATAAAAATATGAAAATAACTTAATTGATTTCAGAATTCATACTGATCTGGAGTACTCAAACAGCAAGGTCCTTTAAAGTCTTCACATATCCAATATAATTAAGCAGAGAAAGTAAGTATGAACTTAAACTTCCACAGGAATCATTTGAAACCCTGGGAGACTGATGCACAGGATTTCTGCTGTCTAGAGGCATGGAGTTTCAAGTAAATAAGACACACTACAAGAAATTGTATTTGTTGTATTGGTTGATAGTATATTTACTTTGTACTATCAAATTCTAATCGGTCCTTATACAAGCATCATTCATTAGTCATTATCTTTTATTTGAAAAATCAAAGAACCTGAAGTGCTTTCACCACATAAGAAACAGAAATCTACAGAATAAAAATAAATAAATTGCATCAACACATTAGTCGGACCTCCCAAATGATTCCATACACTCAGGATTTTAATAAATGGACAGCTAGTCAATCAATGAATGCTACAGTCTTAGAATAAACATTTTAAAACGAAGTCCATGGGACAGGTACAAACACCCTGTAACACAAAAAAAGTATTTAAAACATTTTTAGAAATGAAAACGTCAAGTTCTATGATTTAAAATCAGACAATTCTAAATGGTCTGACCATAAGTTACCGTTCCACCATGTTTTGTTCCCATTTAGCACAAATTAAAACTTTGAAGTAAATCACAGTATTTTAAAATAGCAAGCCGCTTTTTCAGATCTTAAGCACACTATATAAAATAAATTCCCCAGTTAACCTACATCTCCAGAATACTTGATATAGCTGATTTTTTTATATTGCATCATGATTTATTGTCTCCTAAAGTGATTAAAAACAACTGAAATCCCATAATAAATTAATGATGCCCTAGAAAACAGCCAACTGCTGAAACCGTTTCATCCCAGGGATGAATTTTAAGTAGTCCACTTACGAGGTACTTTCTACTGGCACTCATTAAGTAATGTGTAAACAATGCCAAAGTAACTTTATAACATGCTGATAGTTGAATCCACTTTAGTGTCTCCAATTGTGACCTCTTAGGAATAAGTAGTACATTAAGGTACCAACAATATAATCATGACTTGACATTTCAGACACAGAACAAGAGTTCAGTCATGAAATTGTAAGCCAAAGCAAAGAGCACTCTTGCATCAAGAACATTTAAAAACGTTAGAAGTTCAAACAAATGATGAGCAATAAATCTCAGCCTTAAGTCAGTAAGATGAACTAGACATAATGGTATATTATCATAGCGATTTCAAATGGATAATGTTCTACTGGAACATTTATTCTACTTTAATATTGAAGTTCGAATATTTGATACCATTTCAGTTAACTTATACTGAAGATTATGATCAGTAACATACACCTAATTTTCATTGAAAGAATTAAGGTAGTGACTTATGTCAGAATAGTATTTCGAGTTTAGCACCCTCTTTTCCACAATTTGGGATGCAAAAGTGATAGCTTAGTTCACTAAACAAGGGTTTCCATCCTGCAAGATGCTGTATAATCTCAGTTCCCACAAGCTTGATGTGGATAAACTGTGAAACTACAGTGGAACTCAATAATACTTAGTTTTCCATAAGCTTGCAAAAATCACAAAGGTGACTAGAGCTTGATCTGCTTGAGTGCTAATTAAAAAATATTTTGAAGCAACAAGATACAAAAAGGTGCAACTTAACCTAACATGAAACAAGTGCATGATGGGTAAAAACAAAACCAAACCTATAACAGATACTAAAATGTTCTCACGCTGCCCAGCCAGTAAGCCCATGTACCCTCCCGACTTTCTTCTAGAAAGGATGCGCTGAAACAAATACGTTTAAGTTTATGTGGCCTTTTAAATGTTGAATTCTTAGCTAAAACTGCTACAAGCGCCAATTTTGTAGGTGAAACAGCAGCACTTACCTACTAGTAGTCCCATTTTCTCTACACCTTATTTTGAAAACCATAGAGAATTATATTATGGATGGCAAAGGATAACAACTTCTGGTCTCTACCAGCTAAAATTAGATCTAGACTACAGACAGATCTATCTACTGAAATATTCTGTTCCCTGGATATTATGGGAAGAAGCCATCTATTTGGTGCCATAAAAATATCTGCAACAATTGAGACACATATTACCCAAATAAAATATGCTTCACTTCCCGTATTTCCCATTTTCTATCATGCAAGTTGAAATCTGGGCAGAACTGTAATCATAGCTTTTAGTGGTTTTGAGAAAGAAAAGTGTTAAGACTAGTTAACAATCTGCCACTTAATTGACATATTTGGAACATTTCCAACTTAAATATGTGACAACATAAACAGCACTGGTAGATAACTAAAAGAACGAAACCTCCACTGAAGGAGGACAAGTTATTCTTTCTTACATAAGAAAAAATAAATACATTACATTTTTTGCTATTGATTTTTGTTTTAATTTTTATTTTGAAAAATATTTAAAAAGCTGATCTGATGTATCAACTAATTCAAATGACATTTTTAATTAAGTCACCTTGGCACATGATAGAAAGTGTAAT